TTCCCAAATCAGGTGCAGCTCGCCCGTGTGGTAGTACAACTCCAGAAACCGTGGGAATATAAGATAAGAAAAACATCTGATCATCTCTAACAGGCTTTAGACCTGAGGTCAGTCAATGGAAAGACATCGGATGTTTACAATATTCTGTCTGTGCTTGCAATGCTGGGCCAGGGTGATTGGTTGCTTGCGACAGATTTTGGCTCGTGGTTCGTACACGCTCCACGGGTTCTCTTCGTAGCAGTTGAATTGTGTGATGTCACTGCGATTGTTGGTGGCCGGGATTGGTTTTGGCGTTTCTTCAGTGTTCGGTTCTGTTGATGATCGAGACTCTTCAGACAGAGTTGATGAATCCCTGCCCAACCAGAGAGTCGTGGGCGTTTCGTGCGCAGATCTGTCATGACGAAAATAGTTGTTGGATTTTAACAGACAGAGCGGCTGCGGCTGCAACTGCAAGATGACAAGACGGAGGTACTGGCTTTATACCTCAGAGGGTCGAGGGGGTGGGGGATTGAATCGGTCTTGCTATTGCCCACCCTCAGATTCTCCGATCAAAAACTAGCAAAGCATTATTCAGGAGCCAGTGTTGATACGCACTGGCCAGGTATCGAAAGGCCCACGGCAGGACGACGTTTGGACGCGGGTAAAATCCGCATCAGTCTGGCTACATCATACGGGCGCGAATGTGAGCCTCGTGATCTTGGATGTACGATTCTCACATTCCTCTCGAGGACGGCATGCCCAGCATTTCACAGAATAACCCATACCGAAATTTCACCTGACCCTACAAGCTGTTGATTAGCGAAGCTTCGACTTCGAGCAAATCAGAACCAGACTTTTCGAAGGCTGGCATGTCCCCTCTGAATGCGATAAAACCTTCCCTGGCGTCGGCATCGGCTACCGGCCATCCTTCGCAACTTCCCACGAACAACCGTAGAAAACCATCTATTTTTCTTCAAGTTGCCTTGTTGGGTTAACTCTCTGGTCCTTGAATTAGTCGTACCAGTAAGACTGTTAGTGTGGACTGTACGTGTAGCGACCGAGGAATTTTCATTCCACCGCTCACTAACCTCACTATCCTTGACGAGTTTGAAAACCAGGACGGGAGTATTAATGTCATATTTGGTAAGCGACCGTGAGTTATTGGCTACTTCAAATTTCGACTGCAGGAGTTGCTCGGTAGAACTGCGGATAAGCCTTCGGAATGAAGGGTTTGGTAAACAATGCCGTCTCGTGAGGGGGGCATTGATGTCCGGAAGGTCCCGGTAGAGCATACAAATGCCGTGTCTTCGTTACGTTCCAGACGATGCAGAACCCAGTGACAACATTGGTAGAACTTATCAATGAGATGTATCCTGGACGCGAAGGCGGACGCTCGTACCTCTGACTTCCATTGAGTCAGCCATGCCAGCCGCGAAGAGAGACGTTCGTGGCACCGTCTGGTTTGGGGGAATGCGGCCGCTTGTGGTCTCTACGCAACATGAACCTCCGAGCAATGCATCGCATCGCGTCCCAAGCGACCAGACGTCCATTCGTACCACTTCTGGGCTGGACTGTCCACCGCCACAGCAGTTGACTCCCAATCCGGCTCCCCGTGAAATCCTAGCACGAAACCTGTGGGAAATGTACGAACCTTGTGCAGGCATCGACTATGGGCGAATCATGGTGCTGGCTAGGCATCGAAAGAACAAGGCCAACTTGGTCCACATCCAAATGCAGGCTGTGGAGCGATCGGCGATAGAGATGTGTATCCAGATAATCAATCGGCTCGCTCATGGCAGCATCCCACGCCTTCTAGATGTGTTCCAGTATACAGAACGATATCTTCTTGTGTGGGAGCCATTTGAGTGCACTCTCCAGCAGGCTTTAGTATTGAGTTGCCACATCACCGAAAGTGAAGTAGCCCAGATCTTATGGCCCGTGAGTGCCGTTCCCTTTCTACTAGATGCACGATGTTCATACCCAGTTCACAGGTTTTAAAGTGCCTTCAGTTCTTATGCGGCCAGTCGAGGGAGCTAGCCAGCCTCACTCATCGATATATCTTGTTCACCGAAGAGGGTGAAATAAAGATCGGTACGTTTGTCCCAACTGCAGACTGTACAACACTGACATCAAGTGAGATATAGCGGGTATTGAGAACAGTCGCCAAGTCGGCCCTTCCCGTGTCGACAGAATGGCTTCTACGTTCAATGCTCTCCGGTCAATTCTCGATAAGATCATGCAGACAAATGGCTCCACATTCAGCTGGAGCCAGGAGATGCGAAGCTTTAAATCGGCGCTGGCCAAGAGCAACTCCGCGCGGTGTCTGGATAATCTATTGCCTGCTTTCCTCGCTCTCCATACCGCGGACCAGGTTGGAGAAAGGTGCCACATAAATTTTGTTGCGGTACGCAACCATCGAATCGCCTCCCCCGGCTTGACTCCCCTTGGTCAATTTGTGGGCAAGTCATCTACATTGTGTTGACCTGAGGCTGACCGAATATCAATGGCCTTCGAGCTCTCGAAGTCAGACCTTCCATTTAGAAATAAAGAGCAGTGCTGACAGTGGGCGTACTCGTGGCCGTCGGAGGAGTTTTGCACACGACGACCCCAATGAGCTGGGGTGGCTAATCCGTCCGAGTCAAAGCTTGGCTCCCCCACAAGCCGAGCTTTCCCGATATAGCACCCTGTAACTTTCCAAGACGCCTGACTTCCCATTTCCACTCGCTGTGATTGGCTGATATTCCCGCAGCGAAGCGCCGATCAGTGCCGATCATTCGCGATCCAATCAAGAGCATTTAGCGGAATGATCCGCTGAGCGAGGGTTAGTGGGCATCAAGGCTCAAATTGCGTCACCGGTGCTCGGCCAGACTCTAAAGGACTTAAGCGAATCGACTCGACCAGCGACAGTTGTATATGCGACGAAGCGACGACGAGGAAGTTAGAAGACGAGCAGAGACATGGATTAATTGTTCGCCAGCAGAACATATATGACTTTATGACGTTTTGGTTTGAACATGTTGACCTGTTATTTACTTGCGGTGCGCTGGCGGAATCGAGCGGGGAAATGAATGTCTTCACGTACATAGCGTGAAACGTCAGGGATCCCTAAAAATCTGTAGGAAATGGAATTGTTAATACATGCGGAAAGGCACTGTACGCATTCACAGGAGCTATAATTGTGATATAAAAAGGTATGGTCTCATTGTTCATGCGCGGATAAACATGCCCTCGAAACCTGCACTTTGGCCACAACTCCATCCATCCGTCTGCTCCAGTTAGGTTCAGTGAAGGTAAACAGCGTACCACTGGCATTCTAAATGATGACGTAAGAAACCGCTAACCTTTGGGGAATCGCTCCTTCTACAACAGAATTACAGAATTTTGCTAACTTAGTGTGGTACTAACCAAAGGTTGTTACAGTATTAATTTTGCTGTGGATGTATCAATCCCTGGCGCGATCTTGCCCATGACGCTACGATATTGGTATATTTGGAAGTTAGACGAAGGCTCGTACGGATAAGGTTAGATGAGATGACGATGACGGCGTGCCGATGGAACATAAGCTGTGTTAACCTACTCTCCAGGTACGTTCACCACCAGAGGATCCTGGACCTCATGGTTTGCGACTTCCTCATCTACAGTTGCTTGCTCTCTCCAAGCCAAGTTCCTTTGGAGGTCGACACGGGTAATGATAGTATAACCATATCATTGAATACTAGCCTACCGCCGAGAAACTTGGGTTCGCACTCATGAGACGATGACGGGAAGAACGTGAATTCCACACGCAATGCCAAGATGTCTGCCCAGCAGCTGGCTGATATGCTGCCTACCGGCATTGCCATCCTCAACTATCGAGACGAGTCGACTTTCGTCAACCGGCGTTTTCGTGATCTGATGACGCGCCACACGGCTAAGTCTTTCGAATGTTGGTCGCAGTCAATCCATCCGGACGATTATGAGAGAGTGGCTACTAGTTATCATGATGCGGCGAGAGATAAAAGTGCGCGCCGCGTTGAATTCCGTATCCGTGGCCATGAGGATCTCTGGCGTATGCTGACATTATCTCCCCTTGACGCTACGGACTCAAATCGGCTTGGTTTACGTCGGGATGGCGGCTTCGTATGCACGATTACGGATATTACTCCGGAAAAGGTTGCAGAGCTCTCGCAGAAAAGAATTGCAGAAGAGGCACGGGAACGAAAGCAACAACAGGAACGTTTCATCGACATGATCAGTCATGAAATCCGGAATCCTCTATCCGCTATCTTGCATTGCACAGAGAACATACACGAGGCGCTGAATCAAAAGAACAGATGCAATAAGGTTGCGGTAGCAGACATAACTCGTGCAGCAGAAACAATCAATGTTTGCGTTGCATATCAAAAGAAAATTGCCGACGACGTCCTTACATACTCCAAACTTGATGCGTCAATGTTGACGATATCACCGCGAAAAGTACAACCAAGCCGAGATCTCGCAAAGTGTTTAGTCATGTTTCGTCCAGAACTGCGAAAGCAAGACATCCAGTTCGAATACAAGCTCGATAACTCATACGCAGCGTGTGGAATCCAATGGGTTATGGCCGACATCGACAGGATGAGCCAGGTTCTTATCAATATTGTTTCTAACGCAATCAAATTCACCGCGAATGAGACAGAAAGACACGTGTGGGTGTTCATGGGTGCGTCCATCGAACGACCACTATCATATCCACCAAATGTCGTCTTTTTCAATCTGAACCAGGCTGAAAGAAGCCTTGACTCCACCACCACTTCCGAATGGGGAAATGGTCAAGTGGTGTACATCATGGTAGCCGTCAAAGATACTGGAATTGGGATAGGGGAGGAAGATCAGAAGCGACTGTTCGAACGTTTCAGACAGGCAACGCCAAAGACGCAAAGCGTTTATGGCGGGTCTGGTCTTGGCCTTAATGTCAGCAGAAAGCTCTGTCACCTGCATGGTGGTGAGATTGGTGTGAGCTCCAAAAGAGGCCACGGAAGCACCTTCGGGTTCTTTTTCAAAGTGCGCCATGCTGCTGGGGAACGCGACGTCGGGTCATTGATGGATAATGAGCCCGAAGTGGACAACCTATGCAGTGAGATTCAAGCACAGGGGATCGAGATGACTGGTCTCAGCCAAACGAAACCCATGCCTGATATCCCGGAGGACCCAGTGGTTACTCACGTTGAAGAAGTGGCTGCAAACGTCAATTGCGATGACAAGCGCAGGCATACAGCAGAGCCAAGTGTCCGGAGTGAGTCTTTCCAATCTGCAATAGTCGAGCGCCGAAGTACATCCGAAGATCACGTCACGAAGGGGCCCCTTACTGGGTCAAACGCAGCGAAGCTGGAGCACAACGGAAATCACCAAGCCAACTCGCCTCAGTCTCCGCGCTCCGGGACAACCGAAAACAATCTTCTTCTGGTCGAGGATAATGTCATCAATCAACAAGTTCTGTCGCGAGAATTGAGAACTTTGGGATATCGCGTCTCGGAAGCAGCTAACGGCCATGAAGCCGTGGATGCTGTGCAGTCTGATGACTCTCTCTGCATTCTCGCGGATCAGGAGATGCCGATGATGGATGGGGTGTCGGCAACAAGAGAGATTCGGAAAGTTGAAAGAAACCGCACGAGCCGCATCCCGATCCTGGGTGTCACCGCAAACGCCTTGGAGGCGCAAAGTAACGCGATGCTGGACGCGGGGATGGACGATATAATCTACAAGCCGTACAGAACCGACGCTTTATCAGAAAAATACAGCAATTGGTCACTCAGCGAATGCGCGAGGACATTGAGCAGCCCAGTCGCCAAGCAATCTCGTCGGGGACGACGTGATTCGCCGCTTGCTATTCGGTCTCCTGCCAGACCACCCAATCCCACCAGACCGTCTAGTCCCGCCAGACCATCTAGTCCAGACCATCTACGTGCTGCTGCTCCGTCCCCGGTGGGAGCCCAGAATAGAGATCCACCTGAAACCAGAAACATCAGGTGGACAAAACGGAGATAATGTGCCGTACTAACGATTCATTCGATTCAATACAGCTAGCTACCAAGCTCATTCTGGGAGGAACCATATTTGGGTTTCGTCGTATATGGACGAACCATAAGCACCCCTCTGGCTACCGCCTTCTTAGAATGTCGCACCGCCTACTTGAATAGTCATACCGCTCTTGTTTAAGCAGTGGTCGTGCGATTTCAGCGGACAGCAGTCAGGGGATGGCAATTATATCAGCGGACCCAGTCAGGGAGCAGTAGTAGTCAGTGGATAGCCAGATACCTTTGACGAGTTGATGAAGGCGCGCTCTATTTTCCCATTTATTACGGACCCACCGCGGAAGCAACCGCTCTTCCGAACTGGATGGGAGCCGTATACTGTAATTCTCATTTTCATGACCCACGTTGTCTCTAGAGCAGGTAATTGCAGAATCCTATCGATGGCCCAGGTGTAAAACTACGCGATTAATAAAAACTCGTCTGGAACACTCCTCAAAGTAGCTGCTCGACCACTGTTTAGAAGACGCACGGTCACTGTTTAAGTTCCATTCCCTCTCGAAATCTTTCTCGGTCAGAAAGATTACCCTGTGATAACGCAGATAGACCAGCAACGTCCAACACGGACTTGGTCGGGCGATTGTTGTAAAGCCTCGTTAGATCCTTCTCGTCAAGCTTCCTTGCTCTATTTTCGACTGCGCCGCTATTTTGATGCGCTTCATGTGTATGACTGTTTGGGAATGACTATTTTTGGAGTGGATTCGGACTAATGGATCCGGAACCACTCATGGTATGCAGTAGAAATCACTGCAGTTCTAGGTTAACGTGTTACGCGATGCTGACCTGTCACTGTTAATAGAACGCCAGTCCTAGTGAAACCAGCTGAGCACAATCACTCAACGAACCTCGACTCGTTAAAAGGTTCTATCGGGAAACTGCAAGCAGTACAACAGACAGTGGTCGTTCATGCCGTTCCGTCTATTTGTTTCAAACCAGTTCAGTAGCCAAGATGCAGATGTGGAGGATAGGGCATAAGATAAATAGATCTCCAAAGCAGTAGTTATTATCTTGGTTGCGTTGTTGTGATAATATACGTAAAAATAGTGACTGTAGGGAGTTGGTTGTATGATCCTCTCGGTTGCGAATTACGTTATATTTAGACTTATCGTGCTCTCTACTTACAAACAAAGCCGTCCTGGTGGTGTTGCATCATGGTCACGATACAATACCGCTATTAGTTACCCAAGCACCTTTTTGGTGCGGCACAGCAGTGAAATGGTCGTGGGAATAAACATGCCACGACTGTTTTGCGACTGCACTGCTCGTGAGCCGAAGAGATTGTTTCAGAGTTGAACCCAAAATGTACTTTTCTATTCATCACTGTTAGCATGGCCAAAAAACCGTGATCCAGTGCAAGTACAGAAACCGCCAATGCTTTCAACCATTTTCAACTTTCGACAATTCCGAAGTTATTTTCTGTCTACAAGAATGAGATTACTCAAAAAACTGGCTTCTTAGGTTTATTACGTGACATTCAATTGCTATATCTTAACTATCGCTTGAGATATCTCCTTAAATCGTGGAAGTGTCATTAGAAAGGACTGCCACCCACCTCCAGCCGAGTCCATCTGTTTAGGGCAAGAGATCAAAGCGCCAGAAACAATGTCGCCGCTAGCTCTGCGGAGAATGGATGCTCTGATCCTGCTCCCAATGTCATCGAGAAGGTCTTCAATTTCAGTTTTCGATATTGAGGTGGCTGCTTTCGATTGCCACCCCAAATCGTACAAACCCGTTCCGTGCCGAGCTGCTGATCGCGATCTGTACTGATCCACCCAGTACAGATTGTAGGTCCGGCATGGCTTCGCCATCGGTCTGCATACGTGTCTCCCATAGTGCTAATGTAAACGGGCGCCAGAAACAACAGGGGTAGGGCGGCTCGCGGTCACCTGTGGCACAGCCTTAACAGGTCCGGTCGATTCCAGTACCATCTTCCGCCTGGCATTTCTGCTCAGACAGTGATTTTACCCGTCCCCATTGGCAGAACCCCGGCCCATAAGGTTCTGCTGCGGTGAACAGCTCTGGAGTTTGCACATTAAGCCAACCGTACGGGCAATAGTAATATGGGCGATGCCGCGCCAGGAAGCTCCTGGGGACCTGAGTACGAATCAGGCATAATACTCTCCCTCTCTAGGCCAACCGACACGCGCATCCGTCCTCTCGAGCCACCACAGGGTCTCCGCAGGCCGATCCGGCAAGATATGTTGGCGACGATACCACATCTCTGTGATTCAAGTACGTATTGGAAGCATAAATGCCGGCGATACCACGCAGCGATGGTCCAGGTACGAACTGGAAACATACCCGGTCCAGTGCCCTCTGGTCACCGCTATGGTGCTACGGCCCGCTACTTCTAAGAAGCAGTTTCCCGTTACTGCTCGCGGTCTCCCTCGAGCAGCCGACCGTGTCTTGCAGAGGCCTTCACTAGCAGCACCCGGCCGGCATGTTGCTTGTGCAGTCGCCCCCTACTAACCTAGCTCAGTTCCCACCATATGCTTTGCGACCCTGCAGCGGTGCGCTGTCTCTGTCCAGGTGATACGTGGTTCGGTTTCGGTGTAGGCCTTGCCCTTAACACACCCGGCAACCACTGACCTGCCAGGCTTAACAACTTCCATTACTCCAGAGAGCACTTAGGCTTCGTTCTAACCCTCGCTGAGGCAGGCTGCATTATCTTTCAATATCTCTTTTGGGTCTCCTGCCTCAATCCCAGAGCTAGCTGAACTCGAGGGTGCCCTGTCACTCCGCCAGAACAGCTTCGTGTCGGGTGGCTTTCGTATCCCAGTATCCCTCTAGCGATCAATCTAGCACCTTGCAGAGCTTCCAGGCACCCTTTCAATAGAGCTTGAAAGGTTCTCTACCCCCTTTTCCCCAAAGCTGGGGGAGCGCAGTGGTGGGAAGCGCAGATAGGAAGGACCGTGGAGGTCGACCACGAAGTATAACTCCGCCGATGCTTGAAACCCTTTGCGAACACCTGACGGAAAAGCCCGGTATATACCTTGAAGAGATGGCAGTCTTTCTATACGACGAATTCGGCATCTCAGTGTCGCCATCGAGCATAAAAAGGACTCCTTCCTCCGAAGGTTGGACGAAAAAGAAAGCCCAGCAAAGAGCAAGAGAACGGAACCCTGATCTACGAGACTTCTACTTCCATAAGCTATCTGAATTTCATTCGTACCAGCTAGTTTCCGTTGATGAGTCTGGGTGTGATAAGCGGATAGGTTTTAGAAGGACGGGTTGGTCTCCACTAGGAGTGGCACCAGTTCAAGCGGCGAAGTTCCGTCGTGGCCAACGTTATCAGATATTGCCTCCTACGCCCAAGACGGTATACTTCTTTCTCGTGCCTTCACAGGCTCAACGGATGCTGTCGTCTTCGAGGATTTCATTGGGCAGCTACTTCAGCACTGTGGACGATAGCCAGAGCCAATACCTGTGCTAATTATTGATAATGCATCTTTCCACCACTCTGAGAGAGTCAAGCAGATGTGCTCTGAAGCCGGGGTAAAATTATTGTTCCTCCCGCCATACTCACCAGACCTGAGCCCTACTGAGGAATTCTTTGCCGAGTTGAAGGCTTATATTAAGCGAAGTTGGGAATATTACGAAACTCGGCCTGATCAGGGCTTCGATGCTTTCCTGCAAGCATGTGTCGATACTGTTGGTGCGAAAAGACGCAGCGCTGAAGGTCACTTTCGACATGCTGGCGTAAGCATTGAGGAATATGAAGACGACTAAAGGGGGACTATTAACCTTTATAGGTGGGTTCCTGATACAGACGATAGAACTTTCTCGAAATAGCTATTTTAAATTGGCTAAACTAATGCTTGCATAAGCATTTGCTATGTCACAGAACTTAGTTAAAAGAGAAATCAAGCTAGTAAGCAGCTAATATATTTGACCAGTTCCCGAGTCGTGACCTTACAAGGCGTCCTAGGTCTGTAGAGCCATCTGCGCTGACGCAGATTTCAGTCATCTCCCGAAGCGTTCTCTCTATATACTCTCCCGCACCGCTGAGTTTCAGAATTTGTGCAATAGCACAGTGGGCCTTTAGAAGCTTACTAGCGGGTGGATCAATAGTAAGCTCAGCACTTAGATGAAGTTCCCGGGTAACTGAAAATACAGGAGCGCGCAAATATGGCCTTTGTTCGGAAGAGTCGATGACATATGTGCGCTCAATGGTAGGGTCCTTCTGCTCGAAATATATCTCAAACTCTCCAAGCAGCCGATGGTAATTGTGGGTTAGCGTCAAAGCATTGTAGGGACTACCAACTTTGGCCCTGCGATAAGAGGGCCTATGTCGACGTCTCCCACTAGATGACCCCGACGTTCAGGCCGGCAAATTTGGCCAGGGACCCGACAAGTATCCTGCTGAAGTGACAGACCCACAAATCTTCCGAGACACGGTGAGTTGGTCCTATGGAGCCGTTCTGAGTCTCACAATTGATCTTATGACTGGCATTGCGGAAAGGGGGGGCTTGATTCAGGTGCTTTGTGCAGGTTCTGTACTAAACCTATTGTTATTCTCTGCTTGCTTTACTACCCCCCTCAAGCGCCAGATGTGTCAGAGCTGGAACAAGGCTTGTACTACTAATCCTCTCGCTGTCAGCTCCAAATCTATATTGGAGGGTACCCCTGATCAGCTAACTTTTAGTTGCAGTAATCGGGGCTCACAGCGATTTTGGTGTATAACCATCTTCTTGCAGTAGTCGGTCGGGGTCTACAGGCTTGGAGCTGAATATTGAATGAGTGGGTGGTCGTAGCGCCTGTGTCTGGTATAGTGGTAGTCAATACGGGAATATGATGATGCACTGGACTAATGATCGGTATATCTCCAACCTACATGGAGTCATTGACATATCGGGAGCAGCATGCCTATAGCATTCGGTTTTTCTTTGATGGCAATACAGATTTCCCTGTCGAGCGCCTGGAAAGCTACCTCGAGCCAGGTGGAAATCCCAAACG